GGGGCATTTGAGGTTGAAGGTGATTTGCCTCACTCAAAAATAAAAATAAAAAGCTGATGAAAAAAGAATTTTCAACCTCTTAAGTGTGGGGAAAAAACATAAAGTTAAACAATTTTTTTAGAATGAAAGTAAAAAAATTTACTTCTCATGCATTCTTTCAAAAGAAGTTACGAGAATATGTACTCTACCAAACGTAAGAGTAAGCTAAGGAAAATCATATAATGGGATACAGAACACATGAGATCCAGCCAGGAAAGAGGCAAAGGCATTGATCAAAGGGAACTTCCAGCATGACTGCTGGGCCCCAGGCATCAAGGGTGATCAATTCAAATTGCAGCCATGTAATTCACAGGCCACACATGTTGAAGACTCTAATCAGCAAAATCCCCACTGCCCCTGTATTATTTTACTGACCTGAGGACACTGCCCAAGTGAGTCTGACCCAAATTCTCAAGTGTACTTGGCTTGTTGGACCATGTAATGATGAAGTTCCAACTCTCTCTTCTATCTCCCGTTCGCTGCCATCTATATCAGCTGAGGTCTCTCAGCTCACTCCACAAAATTTTCTGCTTTGACCTACTCATAAAACTTCAAGGTGGACCATGGTAAGCGTAGAAGGGAAAAATACATAGTAACCCATCCCCTCTGACCACATCTTGCCTAATGCCCAGGACCTGAACCATACTTCTGCCCTGCTTGATGTCCTATGACTAGCCCTGTATTTTCCAGGACTCACTAATGACCTTGCCCACTAAGTACCCCAGAAGGACTCTTAAAAATTCCCAGGGAAACAAGACCAGTTATCCAGACACTCTATTCAGTATATATTCTCCTGGGAGCTTTCATCTAAAAGTAGCTACTCTGCTCTGTCCTTACAATAGCTAGATTTGTGCTTGCTACTTGGTTTTTCAAAAATTTAGTCTTACAAAAATCATATGATCACATTAATAGATGCAGAAAAAGCATTTGATAAGATACTTCAATTTATGATTAAAACACTTAATAAAATGGGTACAGAAGGAAAGTACCTCAACATAATATATGACAAATTCTCAGCTTACATCATACTTAATGGTGAAAAACTGAAAGCTTTTCCTCTAAGATCAGGAACAAGACAAGGATGCCCTCTCTCACCACTGGTACTCAACATAGTATTGGAAGTCCTAGCCAGAGCAATCAGGCAAGAGAAAAAAATTAAAGGCACCCAAATTGGGAATGAAGAAGTCAAGGTGTCAGTTTGTACAGATGGCATGATTCTCTGTATAGAAAATCCTAAAGACTCCACACACACACACACACACACACACCCCTATTAGAAACAATAAACAAATATAGTAAAGTTTCAGGATACAAAATCAATGTACAAAAATCTACTGTGTTCCTATATACTAACCGTGAAATTTCAGAAAAAGAAAGGAAAAAAATGCCTTTTGCTATTGCAACGAAAAGAATAAAATACCTAGGAATTAACTTAAAGGATGTGAAGGACATTATTTAAAAAAATTGAAGAAGACATAAAGAAATGGAAAGATATTCAATGTTCATGGATTGGAAGAATCAACATAGTTAAAATGGTCATATTACCCATAGCAAAATACAGATTTAATACAATCTCCATCTAAATCCCAAAGGCATTTTTTAAATAGAACCACCACCAAAAAAATAAAAAAAAGAAGAAGAAGAACAGATTTGTATGGAACCACAAAATACCTGAATAACCAAAGCAATCCTGAGGAAAAAACAAGGCCAGAGGTATCACACTTTCTGACTTCAAATTATACTACAAAGCGACAATAATCAAAACAGCATGATATTGGCAGAAAAAGAGACACACAGACCAATGGAACAAAATTGAGAACCCAGAAATAAACCCATATATACATGGGTAAATAATTTCTGAATAAGAGTTAAAAATGTACAATGGAGAAAAGAAAGCCTCTTCAATAAATGGTGCTGGGAAAATTGGAAAGCTACATGGAAAAGAATAAAACATGACTGCTATTTGTCACCACACAAAAATATTAACTCGAAATGGATCAAAGAACTGAATATAAGACCTAAAACAATAAAATACATCGAAGAAAACATAAGTACTAAACTTATGAACACTGGTCTTAGGATTTTATGAATTTGACTTCGAAGGCAAGGAAAGTAAAAGCAAAAATAAATGAAAGGGATTAGATCAAACTAAAAGGCTTCTATACAGGAAAAGAAACAACAAAACAAAGAAGCAACCAATCAAATGGAAGAAAATATTTGCAAACACCTTCAAAAAAGGGCTAATATCCAAAATATACAAAGAACTCATACAACCCAACAACAAAAAAATCAAACAATCCAATTAGAAAATGGGCAGAGGACCTGAATAGACACTTCCCCAAAGTGCAAATGGCCAACAGACATATAAAAAGATGCTCAACTTCATTAGCTATTAGGGAAATATAAATCAAAACCACAGTGAAATACCACCTCGCACCTGTTAGAATGGCTATCATCAACAGGACAAGTAATAACAAGGTACAAGAAGTTTTGGGGAGAAAGGAACCTTCAGACACTGCTGGTGAGAATGCAAATTACTACAGCCACTATGGCAAATATGGAGGTTCCTCAAAAAATTAAGATTATAATTACCATATGCCCTAGTAGTCCCTCTGCTAGGTGTATATACCCCAAAAATTAAAACACATTTATCCATAAAGATATATGTACCCTGATGTTCACTGCAGCATTATTCACGGTGGCTAAGACATGGAAACAAGCGAAGTGTCCTTCGATAATGGGATAAAGATATGGTACATATACACAATGGAATATTATATAGCCATGAGAAAAGATGAAATATTGCAAATGGCAATATAAGTCAGACGGAAAAAAAGTCAGACGGAAAAAGTCACCCATATGTGGGATATAAAATGAAAGCAACAAACAAGAAAAACAAAAACTCATAGACACAGACAGCAAGTTTAGTAGCTACCAGAAAGGGCATTCGGGGAGGCAGAAAAGGATAAAGGGAGTCAAATATATGGTGCTGGAAGGAGATTTGACTTTGGGTGGCGAACAAACATTGCAATATACAGATGATGTACTACTGAACTGTACACTTGAAATCTATATAATTGTATTATTAACCAATGTCATCCCAATACATTTGATTTAAAAAAATAATTTTAAAAAATTAAATCCTAAATGTTGTAGGACACAGCACTAAGTCAAACAATGAACAATAAAGAAAAACTGGGAAATAATGACAGCAAAAATCAGGGGGCTTGCAACGGGGAAAGGGTAAACAGAAGGCTTTTATAGGTCCTCATAACATTCTATTTTTTAATCTGCATAGTGAGAATAAAAATGTTTACATTATTACTATTCTTTAAACTTTCATATACACTTTATACATTCCTCTGTGTGAGACATGACTGCTATAAATGGTTGTAGAAGATGTTCACTGCAGAATGGGTCTTGCCAAGGATGAGAGTAGAAGCGGATATGCAGCCCGAGCTCCTCTTACCAAGACCCTATGTACTGGGGCAAGGCTTTTCTAGTGACCATAGCCAAAGGAGTGCCTTTTCCCTGCCATTGGCATGCCAATCATGTCCCCATACCACTCCATCTACTAGAGATAGCACCTCTTTCAAATTCACACAACTCTATTTTTCTTTTTAGAGCAATGCTTCTCAAACTTTAATGTGCATATAAATGACTTAGGGGTCTTGTTTAAATGAAGATTCTCATTTAGAAGGTCTAGGAAAAAGGGGACCTATTACATTTCTAATATGCTGTCAAGTGACATCAATACTTCTGGTCCACAGGCCACATCACAGTCCAAATTTAGTTATTTTTTGGTCTATCTTCCCTAATTCAAACAGAGGTTTCAGGAGACTAGAAATTTTTCTCTTTTCTTTATTGCTCTATATCTGATGCTTGGAACAGAACGCTGCACATACTAAGTATTCAATTAATATTTACTGAATCTTTTTAAAGGCAAAAGTTTACTCCCTTAATAAAATTCGAGATACTTAAAATATAATGGCTAAAGTACATCTCTCTGACTTTCATACATTAAAGTTAGACTTTATTACTTAAAATGAAATCAGTAATAAAATACTCTGAATTTAGAAAATATCTATTTGAAAAGACATTTAAAAATCTTAACTTCAAAAGAATCTATATGGCACTAAGTTGTACACAACAGGCTTTCAAGTTCCTACGAAGAGCTCCTCAGATAAGACTTTAAAATCAGCATTCCTCAGTGCTAAAAACAATTTTTTCAAGAAGGTAACTGTAGAACTGATAGTGAATGACACCTAAGTCTCAAATGTAAAATGTTACTCATTTCAGCACATCTAGCAGCTAACATAACACAAAGTATGCACATTCAATATTTGTTGACTGAATCAATAAATGTTTAATCAGCAAAAGAACTAAAACCCAAAATAAATAAACCAACAACCCACTTAACCTAATATCTTTGGCTATCCTACCCAATGAAACAGGCTCTACAAAATTCCCTTCAAAATAACTGCTATAATAGACCACTAGACAGCTCTACACACTACCTGAAAAGGATAACAAAGTTAAGTGGACTGGATAACAAAGTAGCTGCTTATTACCCCCTCAGAAACAGGTCTTTGAAGGAATGGAATATAAAACAGGTAAACTTAAATGAAATTTTAATAGCAAGAAAATTGAGAGCCCGAGATACAGCTTAGGGAGGACCGGCCCAAATAGGATGTTCAGAAAGCATTCTGGACAACAAAATGGCAATATGAAGCCTAAATATGGAAAGGTAAAATCTACCTAACAACCTCTCGAGAAATGCCAATATTTACAACAGAGCAGGAAGAACCTTTTTTCTTTCAGGAAAAAGGTAAATTAAGATTTTAAAAAATCTTATTGGCATAGGAAAAAATTAGCCAAGAAATTCAATTATAATAGTAATAAATATCTCCTGACCATAATATATTCTAGAATAATGTGACAAACTAAGAAAAAAATTTTACCTTTCCCCTACGTCCATTTCCTCCATCCTGATCTTCCCACTGCCAGTCTACTCCTCGTACCACTCTGGCACCCGCAAAGATCCCTCTGGCTGTAATCTTCTTAGATTTTCTACGAGACTCTAACAGAACCCTAAAAATAAAATGATTTATTTTCAAATTTATATAAAAATAGGTAACAGTAATTTATTTTTTTTAAACAAGATTATATAAAAGGTATTTTGAAAATATAAAAGATTCTTTTTTCTGGTTAATGCCATAACAGCATGTTACAGGAATACCTTCTACGTCCCACAGGTAATAATGATGATGACAGTAGTATTCAGAATAAAAACAGCTAATATTTACAGAGTTTTACTATTTATAAAAGCACTTTGAGAGATGGAAAGTCTATTGCATGCCTTAAGAAGAGGGTATTTTTATATTATCCATTTTACAAAGAAGGAAACAGAGCCTCAAAAAGTTAAGTAATTTACCCAAGTTCACAAATATTAAATAGCAATGGAATCTATATATGAACTCAGTACAAACACTTCAGGGTATCACTATACTCTTCGCTACTTTAAAATGACAACTCAAATCCCTACAACTCTCAGGCAAATAATATGAATGAGGGCCTAAGAAAGACAGCACCACAGAAATGACAAATGGCAAGTGGCATTTGATCTCAGACTTAGGTAGGGACTTTGGTGAACTTAAGAGTATGCTTTGTCTAAAGGGTACTGGTGCTCCTATGCTTCGACCAACTCTTGCCATGAACAAATACGTGTCCAGGGCTGAATCTTCTGGGGTGGTGGGTCGGTGGGTGAGTAAGTGGGTGGATATGGGTGTGTGTTTTAAGAATTCACAAGCTTAGATTTTTGTGTGAGATCACTTAATTTCAAAAGGTTAGCAACTGTTCAAAAATTTAAGAGCACTGTATATGCCAGGTGAAATATATTTGTGGCCTGGATTTAACCAACATTAAACTGTCTTCAAAGTACTGTATACCTAAAAAGACTTTGGACCTTGAAAATGATTCTAAACTCAACTATCTGGACCAGAGTGGCTCTCCAAGGCCATCTATCCCTTATTCTTCTACATCCTTCTCATTCATAAAATCAAAAATTGGGTTTTTTGTTTGTTTTTCTACTTTTATCTCATTATTCATTTGTAGAATGTCTTTATTATACTCTAAAAACTATAAGCAAAAGACAAAATTATTTAGTTAATAAATGGCAGGACCATGATTTGAACTGAGACACTATGACAACAAAATCCATTTTTCTACAACTCCTCCCTATGACTGGCTAGATTCTTGCTCCTATGCATTATCCAAATCTACATAAGAATAAATTACTTGATACTCTGCACCCATTCACAATTAACACTCCTCTCTCTTACTCACTAAGACACTTAATATATATCTCTACACAGAGTCCAAAACATCACAGGATAATTACTTGATCAAATAATCCCTTAACTTGTAAACTCCTTAAGAATACTGTTTTATTTATCTTCAAATATGCACAAGCATAGTAGTTGCTCCAAAGTCTTAATATATGTCTTGATTCAATCAATGGACCCTAGTGGTAGCAATTAATAGACTAGAAGGCATAGCAAGAAGAAAATAATCAGCCTCTCTTGGGCTGCCCTTGCAGTTTCAAACATTAAGTAGTATCAAGTCTCTATATGAGACAAAGAACAGCCTATATTATCTTGGGAAAATATAGCTCCATTCTCACAGAGCTCTTTCTTCATTCAATGACAGGCCTGCTCCACAAGCTAGCCTGTTACCTGCTACCTCCTGATTAAACCAGCTGTCAGAAGCTTTCCTAATCCTATTTTTAAGGCTGAATAGTATAAAAAATACTAACAAGGAATTGCAACTGAAGAAAAAATTGTTTCCCATACCGCTCACTTCCTGGTGTAGTAATTCTATAGAAGCGATGCCTTAAATGATGTTTATCTCCATGATAACAAACTGTACACAAATCATAATTTGTACACTCTGCACATTTCCATCGAATGCCGATGATTGGTTGCTGACGGCAGGTATCACACATGGTTCCATCATGCTTGATGCCTATTAAAACAAGGATACATGCTTACATTAATCACAGGCATTATTTACTTGAATATTGTTCCCTAAGGGGAAAAATAAAAACACAGCATTTGACAAAGTGTTTCAATAAAGTGAGAAATAATATTTCAAATGTACCATATATAGTTTCAAGATAACAGACTGCAAACATTCTAATCAGCACAAATTACAGACTAAATACTTTCTAGCTCTTCTTTTTTTCATTAGTAAGAACATTTCTCAGTAGCACTTTCCTTGTTCTCATCCACAAACTGAAACTTAGGTTCAATCTGGAGAAAGACAGACTACTTTACCAACCAAGTAGATGTTTCATACTTCAATCATTCAAGAATCTTTTGAGGAATTTGAACATATTCTCTGTGTAAACAATCACTCCAAAAGACAATTTTATCCTCATGACATTTTAAATGAAGTATTTACATATATAAAAAATTTCTTTCAGAATAATGGGGAGGCAGAGAGGACTGCTCATGTTGAAGTTGGGTAACAGCTAACATGACACACAAACCAAATGTTTTGTGTGCAATCCTTCTGCAGTCTCCTTCCACACAAATGCTTGATTATAGGGTCCAAGAAGATGGTGGGCATCAGTACCTACTGATTCATTCAGTAATTATTTCTTTACTGTTATTGTAGCGAGGCCCCCTTGCTGCTTTCAGATATCACTCTTGCTGTAGTATGGAGAAAAGAAAGTAAAAGTAGCTAGTAAGTCATAAGTTAATACAGCAGTCCAGGTGAGATAATGGTAGTTTAAGTCAGAGTGATAACAGTACAAGTGGAAAGAAATAGAGTCAAGAGAGATTTAGGACTTGGTGGCTATGTGCTAGAAAACAAAAGATGTAGACGGTAACAACAAAAAAAAGTATAAGTGAGATTATTCAAGAGAAAAGAAATAGATAAGTTAGAAATATTTAAGAACAGACAGTTCTCTTTAAGACAGAAAGGGAGCCACGAACAAAAAACTAAATAAGCGCATGTTAATTCAAAAATGCAGGCTCAGGCCTCCACTGATAGAAACACATCAAAGAAACTAAATTTAAAAAAAGAATCAGAAAGTTTCATAGAAATGGTAGATGAGTAGACCTTTCAAAAGAAGAAAGAAATCTCAGAAGAGCACAGAGTATGTTCAATAAACCAGGAGAAGTTTTGTTTGGCAGGAATATATATGACAGTCAGAGACTCAGAGATAAATTTTAGAGTCGTGCTGGGAAATAACAAGATAAAATGATTTGATTTGTATATTTAAACTATTTAAATAAATAAATAATTTCATTAAATAGTAAAAACAAGGATGTGTAATTTAAGACTAGTTCTATAACTTACTAGCTAGGAAATGTTCAAATGTTCAAAATGTTCAGCTTAAACTACTCTGGGATCAATATTCTCATCTATAAATTGAGAAAATAATTCTCTTCATAAATAATGGACTGAATGTATTCCCCCCAAAATTCCTATGTTGAAGCCTTTGGAAGGCAATTAGATTTAAATGAGGTAGTAAGGGTAGGCCCCCATGATGGGATTAATGTCCTTATAAGAAGAGGAAGAGAGACCAGGTCTCTATCTGCCATGTGAGGACACAGCAAAAAGGCAGCTGTCTGCAAGCCATGAAGAGAGCCATCACCAAATCAAGAAACAGATTTGGCCAGCACCTTAATCTTGAACTTCCCAGCCTCCAGAACTGTGAAAATTAAATTCATGTTGTTTAAACCATCCACTGTGTAGTAGTTTGTTATAGCAGCTCAAGCAGACTAACACAATAAGGAAAGGGACACTGTGGTATAATAGTGATATAATAGAGACAAAAGTGATATAATAGAGGTAAATATACTTTGAAACACTGTAAAGCAAAATATAAAGTATACTGCACTTAATTTATAAAGAATTATATTGCACTTATATTTCATCTTAATATAGATTTATTAAATGTACCAGTCATCTATTTAAATAATTTGCTGACCAAAATCATCATATATCCCACAAAAATTCAGCAATACTTATACAGACATCAAAGAACTTAACTTCCCAATTCCCAGAGTCTGCATATAGAGAATATTCAATTATTAATGTATGGATTATTCCCATTTTAGCAAATTACTCGCCTTCTCCATGGTCATTCTCTCACCATTTCGTCTCATGTTTTTCTCTAAAGCTTATGGCTTCCTACCTGTCTTCTCAGTTCCTTTAATTGCTTTTACACCAAAACAGGAGCAGTGGACACAACTACCGTGCAAGATAGTCCCACATACCAGATCATCGACCACTTCTCATCAGTTGATAATGATGTATTCTATCCCATGATAATTAAGTCTGACTGCATCAATCGTGAAAATTATCATCAGCCAAAGGCTATATAATCTATTCTAAACAGAATGCAAACTAAAATTAAAAACCACAGATTTATAGCTACACAACTCAAAGCTACCAGCATTCACTAGTATTACATGCTCAGTCTTTTAGAACATAAATCAAAAGGCTGAATGCATCTTGAAAGTTCTGTTCTTCCTTATTGCGTGTATCAATGAATACTCAGAAAATGGTCTGGCTTTTTTTAATCACATCAGGATTTTTAAAAAGTACCAAATAATCCATAAACTGGCTTATCACTCCTTAGGTTATCAAGAATTTGTGATATTTTGCTTTAAATCAACATGTAATCAATTCCTTATAATATTAATTTAAAAAAAAAAAACCTGTAATTATTCCTTTAATTATCTCTCAACACAAACAGCAAAAGTTCACAAAGAAATTATTCTAGCTCACACAGTTATTTTTTTAAGGTAAATTCTAAAACCTATCAAAAAATAAAGATTTTTTAAGGAATGTCATACTGTCTGATGCAAAGCTATTAAACTGAATTTTAAATTTTCATAAAACTGTAATTAATGAGAAATGGCAAGAATCATAATATGAGTTTTTAAAAATTCATACTTTAACATTGGAATACGGGTATATTATTCCTGCTTTATATATGCATTTTACACCAGTTACATTCCTGGAAAACTGAGTGTATACTTAAAATGGAGAAAAGGTGTGGCAGATTATGTTTTCCAAAGAGCAACACACCAATATGTCCATCCTTATGTCCACCCTCACAGTGGTCTTCTGACAATGTGACAACGACACATGACTATCAAGAGACAAGTTATTTTCCTCTTCCCACTAGACCTAGGTAAACATTTGCAACTGCCCTAATCAACAGAAGATGGTAGAAGTGACACTATATGACTTCTGAGGCTAGGTCATAAAAGACAATGCAAGTACCATTTATCTGAGGCTAGATCATAAAAGACAATGCAAGTACCATTTATTTGTTTGTAGTAAATAATAACAAAACTTTAACGTGACTGATGTCAAAAATATGAGGCTACTTATGTGTAAACTATGCTAAGTCATACAGGGAAATTCTATGCAGTTACTAAACCATGTTGAAGAAGAAATGTTACTGACGTAGTAAACTATATTATTTTATAAAGCTTGTAAATAATTACAGTACACCATTTTGGTAAAACAAATTATACAATACATATAATCAATGTACACAGAAAAACTAGAAAGATAACCCCCCAAAATGTGCTGATGGGGTTACCCTTTGTAGTTTTCCAAGTTTTCTCAACAGAGGGTATATTAATTTTAGGAAGCAGCTGGGTAAATAGGGGCATTTAATATGCAGTGTATGCATCAGAAATGCTGATATATATGTCACTTATAATTAAAATAAAAGCTAAAACAAAAACACGAGGAACTCTAAGCAAATATTCACAGAAACCAACTTTCAAATAGTTACTTTAGCAACAGGGTATGTAACTACTACTTTGAAGCTTTTATTTCTTTTAACCATTGCACAGCGCTTTTCCATGCTTATGAAAAGAAAATATATACCTTGTCTACGTATAATTCTCATTACCACATACCTAATCTGTCTTACTACAGGAAAGCACCACAACCAAAAACATAATTAATATCAAATATCAGTAATAGTAAATGTCCCCATACAGTTATGTTTCTGACAAGGTCTAAAATAGGTTTCCTTTGTCATTACAAAAAGTAAAATACACTAAACAAATTAGTATCCACTATATATTTAGAGGTTTATCCTAAAATATCTGTGTAGCTCTTCAAAGGAGAGTTAAGTTGATGAAAAGCACAGGAAAAATGTATCCCAACCTCCTGACCAAAACGAAAAAGTCCAGTTTTCAGTGATGTATGTATTCTTCTCTATGTACATTCTTCAAAGTACAATAACATTCATGAGCTCATAATCTAAGTACAGGCTTTCTTTAAAAGGAGTCATTTAAACCCACAATGATAACTGGTTAAGAAAAAAAAAAAAGGCCCCTCTACAATTCATAGTTTTAAAGACTACTTCAGGAAAACCATTAATGCACACAAAAGCACATCCAAATCCTTTCTTGGTTCCCACAGTTCAAAGGCCAACAAAGCTACTGAACAGCTGTGAAACAGACTAACGCTGAGAATTGGAACAAAGCAACCCACTCTACTACCAAAATGAGCACTACAGAATTTTTAATGAAAATGCAATTAACTGGATTTAAAACAAAAGTTGGTATTTAAAGAAAACATAAAACAGAAGAAAGGGCATTACATAAAAAAGGCCAAAATTTTACTGATCTCTCACACTGGTAGCTTTTTTGTTTCCCCTTACTACCTTCACCCAATTTATTCTCATCTAACACCATTTCCTCCCAGTCTAAACCTCTTAGCTCTGGCAAGAGTTATTTCTTAAAATTTTCATTTCATAAAACTTAATTCCCTAACTAAACCTATTAGTGCTTTTTTCCTTCCTATAGAATACCATGTTACTCTCAAGAGTTAATGTTTTTTCTCTTTGCTAAGCTTTATGAAGACATCTGCCACTGTTAAATGAACCACCTGATGATAGCTTTTGACTCATTCTAGGAATACTCAAATGACCATCTGCTCTACGTTTTAATGGCATCTCGCCTAAATTCAATAATTTAGAA